GGGGTAATTGGGATGGGTGTGTCAGAGGCAGTGCGGTTGGCGCAGGATAGAGCAGGGTTTAGGGCTGTTGTGCATAGGGTCGCTATGAGTTACAAATGACTCGACGGCACGTAACAACAACAACAACAACCCTCTCAAAGGCTGTTTTTGTTCAGACATACCTCTAGGTCATATAGCCCTGGTGTACAAGTTGCTGTACAGCGGTCACTTGTGTTTGCTGTGAGGCTGAACACTGTGACATTGATGTGTCAAATGCGTTAATGGCTGGTTACCCAACGCAGACAGAGAGTGGGGTGGAGCTCCCCGATTAAAACAAGCTTGGAAGGAGGAGTGGCATCCACTTCCATAATAGCTTGCTTCTGGAAACCCTATGAACCTGGAGAGAGGAAGAAAGGCACCCAAACGTCGAGGACTCTCCTTCATAGGGTCACTATGAGTTGCCTGCATTTCGATGGCACTTAACAACAACAACAATAACCCTCTGAGATAAAATCAGAAACAAAACGGTTGTCTTCAAAAATCAATAGAAGTTGCAGCTCATCATTAAAACACCTCTAGTGAAGTAATAGCTCTCATTTAGCAAAGGTCATCAAAGGACACCAAGAGCACTCATGGAGAGGAGGGGCCCATGTGGAACGTAGAACAAAAGGGGCAGCAAATGTGCATGCCCACTGACCAATCCTTTCACTACAAGCAGGGTAGCAGGCCACATGGCCCAAGCTGTGGTGAAAGGAAGTATGTAACTTCACCAAGAGACACTTCTTAAGACTCTTTGAATCTCAATCTGACAAGGTCTACTGTCTGGGACAGGAAACCCAGGGAAGAGAGAAAGAAGTTCAGGAGCCCACAAGACATGAAAAGCAAAACCTCGACAGGCCACATAACAAATGACCCACTTTGTGCAAAAAATGTCATGACAGACAGAAAGAAAAAAAGGAGTGACCATTAAAGCACCAAACAGGCATAAGAAACACAACGCAAGACAACGTGTGGATCTTTGAATGTAGTCTCAAAAAGGGTAACTTTAAAAGTAATTTCTGAGACCATTCTGGAAGACTATAAACTATAAATACAAAATTATATTAAGGAATTGTAAAAATAATTGTTCTATGGGTGAAATGACAGAACATGCAAGATATATTTTAAAATATGGGGAGCTCTGGTAGCCTAGTGGCAAGAAGATGTACTGCAATCCCAGAAATATGTGGTTCGAATCCACCAGGTTCTCTGCTAGAGAATGAGGGGCAGTCTCCTCCTGTACCAGTCAGATCTGATTTGATGATATACACACAAAATATAATAAATAAAAAAATAAAATATGCAAGAAAAAATGTTTTTGGGGGTGCAGAGAAAACTTAAGTGAAGAATAATAACTATTAATGTAATAGAAAGATGTATGGGGATAGTAACCATTACTGGAATAGACAGATGTATGTGAATTTCACAAATCCTCATCTTTTGTGTATATATAAGCTTTCCATAATGAACACAGTTCATAAGAAGCAGCTATGACCTGCCATTGCGGTCCTTGTTCTCAGGTGCTACTTCTCCGGCTAGGACAGTGCACCACGATGACTTGAGTAAATGGATGACAGTGCTTTGAGTGACTCCAAGCAAGTAAGAAAATGGAAAAAGGAGAAACCATTGTGCCCCAGCCACAAGATAGTGAAGAGAAAATCACTGGTAAAAAGACTTCAGCAGCCAGGGCTAGTTGTGATGCAAAACCAAAATCAATAAGTCGTGCCAAAAAGTGGTCAGAAGAGATCGAAAATCTGTACCGATTTCAACAAGCAGGATATAGAGATGAGATTGAATATAAACAAGTGAAACAAGTTTCTGTGGTAGATCGTTGGCCAGAGACAGGCTATGTGAAGAAACTGCAGAGAAGGGACAATACTTTCTATTACTACAACAGACACAGGGAATGTGATGATAAGGAAGTCCACAAAGTGAAAATTTATGCTTATTAGGCTTTCTTCTGTTGTAAAGAAACATCTCTGTTAAAGGGCATTAAAGAGATTTATTAAAGACAATATGTCATTCAAATGGTAAAGTGTGGAAAATTCAGGATCTGAAGCTCCTGAATCCCAGGGAGGAATGTAAATCATCCAAAATTAAAGAGCTGTAAAAGGAAAAAAAAAAAAAAAAAAGAAGCAGCTATGTTGACAGTCAAATTAGGGGAATGAGGAAAGGGACACAAAATCATTGCCCTGGGCTAGTGGGATTTTTTAAATCCAGATACACATAATATTTTAAGATGTTAATGAAATAACAATGGTCATTACAAAAGCAGTATTTTTGTTAAAAAAATAAGATAAAATATAAGTAGTTAATGTTTTCCTCATTCCTGTTCTCCAAAAGCAGCTTAACTCACTACAACATATGATCAGGAGGCAATGATGATAAACAAGCACATTCAAGCTGCTCTGGAGGAACTGGCAAAAAACAAGGCCCCAGAAATTGACAGAATATCAGTTGACGTATTTCAACAAATAGATGCTGCCCTGAACATGCTTACCAAGCAACCTGGATGATAGCTACCTGGCCAATTGACTAGAAGAGATCCATATTTATTTCCAGCCCCCCAAAAAGGTGATCTGACAGGGTGTGGCAATTATTGAATAATATCACTAATACCACATGCATGCAAAATCCAGCTGAAAATGATCCAAAAATGACTGAAACAGTACATTGATAGAGAACTACCAGAAATACAAGCTGCAGGGTTTAGAAGAGGCCAGGGCACTAGGGACATCATAGCCATGTCAGATGGATCTTGGCAAAGAGCAAAGAGTACCAGAGGAATGTCTATCTGTGCTTCATTGATTATACAAAGGCATTTCACTATGTGAATAACAACAAATTGTTGCTAACTTTGAGAAGAATGGGAATCCCAGAACATCTCATTGTGCTCAAAAGAAATCTATACTTGGACCAGGAGGCAGTCATCAGAACAGAGCAAGGAAACACTTCATGGCTCAAAATCAGGAAAGGAGTAGGTCAGGGATGTATCTTGTTTCCATACTTTTCCAATCTACACGTGGAACAGAATATCTGGGAGGCTGGCTTTTATAAGAAGGCATGTGCTATCTAGATTGGAGGAAGACTCATCAACAACCTGCATTTAAATACACACTGCTTCAAACTTGACTCTTTCACTTGGCAATACTACCCTCTATTTTTTTAAGAATGTTTTTATCAATTTTATTGGTAAAGCCCAGAAACAACTCAAATGTCTAGCAAATGGTGACTAGATAAATTGCCTTGTGTCCTGTGACTGTATTTTTATGGACTCTAAAAGATACAACCTCGTAGGCAGAAATTAGATCAGTAGTTTCCAGGAGCTAGAAGTGAGGTGAAGGGATTGATCCCAAAGAGGTTTCTGGGTTGATGAAAAGGTTCTTGATTATGGTGTTGGTTACATGATCTACATTTGTCCAAACTCAGAGAACTGTGTTACAGGTAAATTATACCTCAGTAGGAATTAACCATATGTCAACAGAGAATATTCACAAAGACATCTAGCAACTTTATCTGTTATGGTGAGAAACTGGAAATACACCATCTATGGTGTAGTCATGTCGTGGAACACCTCTCAGCAGTAAGCAAAAGCACACACATGGATATGATGGATCTCACAGTAATTATGATGAGTGGGAAAGGTCCCACAAAAAAAGAACACAAGCTGAAGAGTTTCACTTACAGAATATTAAAAAAAAAACATAGAAACTATTATATTCTGACAGAAAGCAGGACCCCTGACTTGCCAGAGAGCAGAGCAGGGCATAAGGAAAGGCTCAGCAAAGGGAAAGAGGAAACAGATACATTTCAAGACTTATCAAACCATACAGCCATTTTCATTACTTTTTATAACTTCATATTATTACAAAGTGCATATGACTGTACTGTAATTTATATATTCACTTCCCAGTGGACAGACATTTCACTTGTTTCACATATTTTTCTATCATAGAAATGAAATTGAGTTATCAGAAAGCACACACATTTTCAATTTTTATGTAAACCGTCATATTGCCCTGGGAAAATTCTAATCAATATGTTGGTTTATATCCCATCTGGCCCACACCCAAAGTCAGCAAAACATGCCCAGTGTCCCTAACAGGAGCCTTGATTGTCCCTGACAACTCAAATACCTCAATAGGAGATCTACTGATTAAGTCTAGAAGAAGAGAGGAAACTAGGTTATATTACAAATGATATTTTTTAAATGTTTTATTGTTATTAATTTTAATGAAAGTTTACAAAGACTGAGGATTTCCATTCATTCACTGTTGCACTCTAAATGATATATTTTTAAAAATGGTATCTTCTGCAATTTTAGAAACCATGAAAAAAATTAAAATGTTATTTAAATTCCTTAAAAGCTTCCTTCTACAAAATTATTTGTTAAATAAGCCCCAAGGATTGCTGGGAAATGTACACAAGAAAACTGTCAGGCAACAAGAAACCTACCCAAATCACATCCAACTTCTCTGCAAAGGGGCAGAGCCCAGAAGAGTTGAGTGAAGGGATAAACTGTGACTTTCCAGAGTCTAGAACCCACAAATAAAAAAGCTACTGGATACTACAATGACTTTAACATCAAGAAAGAAAAGATCCTCCCCTCTCAAACTGATGAAGAGGACAAGAGTTTGCACAGGATCTGGAATTCTACAGAAGATGTGAATTCAAATCCCAACTCTATCACTGATCTCACAGGGGGTCACCAAGAGGTCACTTCATCTCAGCCTCTCTCAGTTTTCTCATTTGTAAAATGAAGAGGAAATGAGCTTTAAGACAAATCACTCCATCTTGTCTTCTGCTTCCTCATCTATAAAATGAGGATGAAAATAAAACTTAATTCATATGGTTAGACTGTCAAGAAAATGAAACAGTCAGGAGCATGTCATGATCAAGACTCAGAGCCTGAAGTCAGGGATATTTGCACCTGAAGTTCACCTCTAACATCTAGTGAACTCTGAGGCCCTGGGTAAATCTCAGAGCTTGTCTTACTCACCTGGAAAGAACAAGGTCATGTTACCATTCTCACTGGAATTTGACATTCTCTAAAAAGATTATGTAAAGTTCCTAATACAGGGTCAGGCTGTGCTACTACATCCATACACCCAGAGAGAAATTATTGTTTCAATATAGGAACCTGGTGTTTAAAGGGCTAAAATCACTTTTTTCCCAATTTGCACACCAACCTAACTACTTTGTTGTCTCATTTGTAAAGAAATGAGGTTTCCCTAAATATACTATATTCTATTATCATGATAAACCAACTGTGGTGTCTAATAGGGGGGTTTATGCTATTCCATTCAACTGCAAATTAAACTCTGAACTGAGGCCACATTAACAACTGTAAATTGCAGACTCTCTGCCCTCTCCACCCCAAGAAACTCCAAGGCCACATGGACCACCAGCAGAAGTAAATGACTCCCTTACCAGGTAAATTGGGCTCCGGCCACTGTCCAGGGCAGGAATGCCAGTGAGAACTTCAGCTAAGACCTAGAGAGAACACAGAGAATCACATGACCCAGACACGCAGGCTAAGGCCATCAGCACATTCTGCCCAGGCTAGAACCCTCTTCTCAATAATCACGTCTGGGTTTGCTGAAATCTAGAACATGAGACTATCACCAGACGCCTCCACCAACTAAAACCCCCAACCATCTGTCTGTGAAAGGTTCTGATCAACTGAGAGCAAGGCATGGATGATTAAATCCAAATTTGTATATATGTGTTACATATTGGCAATGTTGTTGTTGATGGTGGTGTGGGTCAGTAAGCTGGAACCAAACCATAACTGACCTTCCAGTGGGTTTTCAGAGGCAGTAAACCTCATAGGATGAGAATGTCCATCCTTCTCCTATAAAGCAGCTGGTGAATTCAAACTTTGTGCCTTTGAGATTGTAGCAGTTTCTTACCACTAGGCCAATATAGACATACTATATTTTGAGACAGTTCTATTTAAAATCCATTGAAAAGTACAAGATACCTCAATCTCAGGAATCCATGCAGATATCTATTCTGTATTTATATTCTACATATATAGCATATTTTATTCTTAATGCCTTAATTAATGTTATCAGATTAAGACAGACTAGGAAGAAGGATTGGCCACCCACTTCTGAAATAGCAGGCCTCTGAAAACCCTATGCACAACAGAACACACGCAGATTAACAAAAAGGGCAACATAGGTAGAACTATCAAGTATGGAAACACAAGGGAGGAGGAACAGCTGTAAGCAGACCCTAGTGATTGGTACATGGAATGTGAGA